CTTTTCACAGCTTGGTCATATTGACAGTAAGACCTAGATCATAGTATGCATGATCATGTCCAGAGTAGGACCGTGGACTTGGTACATTCCCAGACGTTTCGCCGGCATCGTCAGTGAGTCTTGCCATTCTTAGGACGACACTGGAACTCGTCAAATGGATTAAATGTGTGCTAACCAGGTGAGGTACCTCTCATTCTGTTCCGGGCTATTCACCGATCCCATATCCTCGTATCACCCCTTCAATATCATAATTTCTTACCTATTTGTCTACATCTATTTGAAGTCTATTCACACTCCCCGCTGGTTTCCTCATCCCTCCCACTGCGCCGGGAGTGTTGATCCAAGGCTGTGGTTTAATCCAAAATCCTCTCTTTTCGATTCCTATCAGAGTGCCCTCTTGCTCCGTAGGATCCTTTTCTTATCTGCTTCTTTAAGTGATTTCACCCCATCGCTGGCACGTATCCATGCTACTCTTTTTCACTGAGCAAGCCCCTAAAGTCTGGATTATCATTTGGCATGACAACCAAACTTGATGCTGCACATTCCCTTATCGCTGTATGGCATGTGCACCGAGTAAATCTCGTGGTCAAGCCTTACTACGTCTATGAGCAGACTTATCTACTAATAGCCAGCTAGAAATGGCCACTACCTTTTCTCTCGCTCTTCTATGCAATTGCATGACTATTGCATTCCAACCCCCAAATGTGATGGTTCTACTTGATTTGAATAGGCCCAATGTAGACGTCTTTTCTTGGTTTCCGATTCTTCCTTTCTGATCCATTTGCAATTTCTTTTACTAAAATTAAAAATTATCTTTGTCCATTCGTTTTCTTCTTGCCGATATTGCTGTTCCCTTTTCTTCTCCGAGTTAGTTTAGGCAGTATGCAAAGTTTTCGTTAATCCTGCTTTCTTCAAGTCTCCTGTTTATTAAGTTTCTTTTCGTCAGGGTATGAATGGCTTCTCGTACCTTACGTCTTCTTGTATTTCCATCATATGCAGCCAGCCTGTCTGCCGATTTCCACTCGCTTTCATGTCCCGTTCGTGCGATATGTTCCGCTATTTCAGATTTTTCCCTGTCCATGTTTCTGCAGAGTCTTTGGTGTTCCTTGATTCGTAGGCTGATTTTTCTTCCTGTTTTACCACTATACTTCTGCTCGCAGTTGCCGCATTTGATGCTATAGACTCCCGTGCAATCCAGATCGCCAACCTTCTCATGTTGCATCGGCAAGCTTGGGAAAAGTGTTGTCTTTTCTTTTGCTATCACTTTGTTATTCCATTGTCTTAGCAACGGTCGCAATTTCTGGCTCAGTTCAAAGGAAAGCATTTATATCTGCTGTTTGTCGTCTTACCGATTTCTGATCTTATTTGCATAAAATCCTAGTTGAAATCTGCTTTTAATTACCCCTATGTTTCCTTCTATAAATGCTCTGGTTTACCCGTTACTAAGGCAAATCCGAGTCAGTTTCTCCTA